TGATCTCTCTCTAGAAGTCCTCCAGAATTTTTAAAATATATTTTGGTGCTCCCATATTTGGTGCGTATATGTTTACCAGGGTTATATCCTCTTGTTGGATTGCTCCTTTTAATAGTATGTAGTAACCCTCTCTGTCTCTTATTATGGCTCTTGTTTTGAAGTCTATCTTGTCAGATATGAGTATTGCTACATCAGCTTTTTAAAAAATTTCCATTTGCTTGGAAAATGTTTTTCCATCCCTTCACTTTCATCCTGTGTGAGTCTTTTGTTGTGAGGTGGGTCTCTTGTAGACAGCATATATATGGGTCGTGTTTTCTTATCCAATCAGCTACCCTACGTCTTTTGATTGGAGCATTTAAGCCATTTACATTTAAGGTAATTATTAATAGATAGTTATTAGTTGCCATTTTAATTTTATGCCTGTGCTTCTCTCTTCTTCTTCTTCTTCTTCTTCTTCTTCTTCTTCTTCTTCTTCTTCTTCTTCTTCTTCTAATAGTCCCTTCAGCATTTCTTGCAGTGCTAGTTTGGTGGTGGTAAATTCCTTTAGCTTTTTTTTTTTTTTAAATCTGTGAAGCTCTTTATTTCCCTTTCAATTTTGCATGATATCCTTGCTGGATAGAGTAGTCTTGGATTCAGACCCTTGCCTTGCATTACTTTGTATACTTCATGCCACTCCCTTCTGGCCTGCATTGTTCCTATTGAGAAATCAGCTGACAATCTAATGGGAGCTCCCTTGTAGGTAACTTTCTGTCTCTCTCTTGCTTCCTTTAAGATTCTTTCTTTGTCTTTAATGTTTGCCATTTTTATTATGATGTGTCTAGCTGTGGGTCTTCTGGGGTTCATCTTGTTTGGGATTCTCTGTGTTTCCTGGACTTGTGTGACTTTTTCCTTCACCAGTTTAGGGAAGTTTTCTGTCATTATTTCTTCAAACAGGTTCTCTATTTCTTTCTCTGATTCTTCTCCTTCCGGTATTAGCAGTGTTCTATTCTTTATGGATAGAATGCCTACTCATATATCTCAGAGAATGTTAATAGTAATTTCTTTGTAAGCTCTATTCTGCTCTCTGTAAACTTCTGTTGATGATGATTCTAAGTTATACATTAATTTAAAAATGTTTTAAATATATTGATTTTAGAGAGAGAGAGGAACATCAATTCATTATTCCACTTGGTTGCTTCTTCTTTTTTTTTTTTTTATCCTCACCCGAGGACATTTTTTGTTCAGATAGAGAGGGAGGGAGAGAGAGGAAGAGAGAGAGAGAGAAACATCGACGTGAAAGGGACACATCGAGTGGCTGCCACCTGCACGACCAACCAGGGCCGGGGACAAACTGCAACCGAGGTACGTGCCCTTAGCGGGAACCGAACCCAGGTCTCTCGGGACCGCAGGCCGACGCTCTAACCGCTGAGCCAAACCGGCCAGGGCTTGGTTGCTTCTTATACATGCCCTGACCAGGGATCAAATCTGCAACCTTGGCATATCTGAAGGACACTCTAACCAAATGAGATACTCAGCCAGGGCAGTTATACATTGATTTTTAACGAGGATACCAATATGAAATGATTAACGTTATATGTGCATGGGGAGATTGAAAGTGAGCTATTTTTTTCTTATTTGGAGTTGTATCAGATGCTGCTAATTATTTGCCAGTATTTATTTCCCCCTACCTGCTTTTAGTAATAGAACTACTCTCACCCCTTTAAATATCAGCTAGAGCCTTCCTTGGTGCAGTTTCCCAGTCACGTTCTTAAAAAGGAAGCTGCTTACCTTCCACTTCCTCTTTTGCCAGATGACTAAAGTGCTGACTGGGTGCTGGCTCACCAGCTTCCACCACTCTGATGAGAAAGCCAGAGAGCACTGGAGCAACAAAGAGGAAGGGACCTAAATCCCGGATGACCTCGTTGGACAGAGATGCTGACCAATCCCGAATGTGCTTCTTCCTCTGAACAGTTGCATGAGAGAGATATAAACTGCTTTTGTTTCCACAGCTTAGTGTATACCCTAACAAATTAGGAAGAATCCCCAAATATCAGTGTTTATTGGTGTCTTCTCTGTTACTGACCAGTTTCTTCTGAGATGAATCCTTCATTCTCCTGTCTGCTTCTTTATTAACTTGAATGTCTACCATGCATGATGAGATTACTCCTTCTCTGCTTCTGCCTAAGCCTCTCAGCCAGTTTTCACTGCAACATAGCTTTACACTGTTAGCACTGAGAGTATTTACTTTCTTTCTTCAAATGATTGCACCCATTCCTGGAGAGCAGAGCATTCGCGTTCATCTTCTTGTTTTAAGTGAAATGTTTTTCCTTCCTTTATGATAAATTCATTTTTGTATTTCCCTCAGAGGCTTGCTTATATAAAGTTATATGAGATGAAAATTTGGTACTAATTAAAAATTAGTAAGGTGAAATGTAAGAGTTCAAGTTTTTTGTTTGTTTGTTTGTTTTTGCATATGGATGTCCAAATGTTCTGGTACCATTTGTTGAAAAGGCTACCCTTCCTCCACTGAATTACCTTGGTACCTTTGTCTACAATCAATTAACCACATATATGTTAGTGTATTTCCTGACTTTATTTTTTCCATCAAGACCACAGCGTGTTACTCATGGTAGCTTTTCAGTCTTAAAATAAAAGTATGAGTCTTTTAACTTTTAGTTCTTTTGAAAAATTGTTTTGGCTATTCTAGTTCATTCACTTATCCACATATTACATTTTAGAAAAAGCTCATCAATTTATACAATGCATCTGCTAAGGTTTGTTTTGGAATGCTTTGACTCTCTAGATCAATTTGAAGAGAATTGATTTCTTAAGAATATCAAGGCTTTCAACCCATGAACACAATGTATCACTGCATTTACTTAGGTTTTTAAAATTTTTGTTTTTGTTTTTTTTTCTTTCATTGATGTTTTGGAGTTTTTAGCTATAATGCACCACACAGAGATGTGTCATTTTTTAAAAACTATTATTTTGAAATAATTATAGAGACACAGAAAGTCACAATGATAGTACAGAGAGGTTTTGTATACCCTTCACCTGGTTTCTCTCAATAGTTATATTTCAGAGAACTACAATAATATCAATAATGTCAAGGAATTTATATTGGCTCAGTGTGTGTATAGTTCTATGCTATTTTATCACTGTGTAGATTTGTGTAACCAGTTCAACAATCAAGAAACAGATATATTCCATCACCACAAAGATCCCTGTTGAAGTATCCCTTTATATTTACACTTTCCCCTCTCCCCTGGCCCACCATCCCTAACACTGGCAATTACTAATCTGTCCTCCATTTCTATCATTTTGTCACTTTGACAAAGTTTGTAATCTTAAAGTGCGTGCTCTTTGAAAATGTCTTTTGTCACCCCTGAGAGGGTAATACTTCTAAAATTTCAATTTCCAATTTTTCATTGCTAGAATTTAGAAATGTAATTAATTTTTATATTTGGATGATTGTGATCCTATTAAATTCTCTCATGAGTGCTATACACTCTTTGGAATATACCAAATGAACAATTATGTTGTCTGTGAATAAATACAGTTTTGCTTTTGCCTTTTCAAACTGTATGCCTTTTACTTATTTGTCCAGCCTTATTGCACTAGTTGGGACCTCCAGTATTGCTGAATAGGAATAATGAGAGTGGATATCTCTGTTTTGATTCCTAATCGTAAGGGAAAACATTTGGTGCTATTATTTGTAGTTTTTTTTATACATGGGTTTTCTTACTTTGATAGTTTTCATTCCAAAGTTCAGAAAACTATTATTAGACTCCTCCAAACTGCTCCATACATGAGCACCACAGAAATGACCACTTATTGGGTTCATAAACTCCGTGGATCACTGGGAGATAACCATGATTGCCTGCCCCCTGTAGCTCCTGTTTTACCTGGGGTCATGGTGACACTTTCTGTCCCTAGGGCTCAGATCTAATAAGTTTCTAAAGATTCTAGGGCAAAGTTACTGAAGGCTAGAGAATTTCTCCTATGTAAACTTGCTGTGGTATTGCACAGTCCTTCCTCATAAAAATCTGGCCCTGGCCGGTTTGGCTCAGAGGTTGGAGAGTCGGCCTGCAGACCAGAGAGTTCTGGGTTCGGTTCCCGCTGGGGGCATGTGCCTCAGTTGCCTTTTGTCCCCAGCCCTGGTTGGGGTTATATGGGTGGTGGCCGCTCAATGTGTCTCTCTTATCGATGTTTTTCTCTCTCTCTCTTCCCCCCTCTCTCCTTCACGTTCTATCTGAAGATAAATGCAAAATAAATAAATAAATAAAAATAAATCTGTCCTCACTTTCACTCTGAGAACTGGTGAGAAAATTGCCAACAACAACAAAAAAGCAATCGTGCAAAAGATCGTGACTTCCTACTGGAGTGGCTGACCTCAGTGTTTGTATGGTTATTCTTGATGTCTTTAGATTATATGCGAAGTGATACCTATGTTAGCTGACCCTAAGAAACAGCATAGTGGATGTCCTCTCCCACCGCTGCATCCCTACCTTGCTGCCCTGCATGCCTCACTCTTAGGGAGGCACTCTGTCAGGGTCAGAACCTGCACAACCCTGAGAACGAGTGCCTTCTTTAATTTTGCATCCTAGGCAAATCTTTTTCATCACCCTAGTCCTAGCGTTCCAATAATTCTGAAGGTTAAGTGCTGCCACTTAGCTCTGTTCTCCTGGGAGTCTATGTGACCCGCTACTACCAGGAAGCCACGTTGGATAACGGCATGCCCTCCAGCATAAGCCAGTTTTCTCTGTAATATTGGTCCCTGTCACTGGTGCATTCCTTATTGTCTTGGTGAATGGTACATCCTCAGGGTTCTCATGAAGAAAACAGCTGGTGGGTCTTCGGGTTTTATAAAATAGATCACTCTGTCTACTCTTCTGAGCCTTGGATCAGTTCCTTAGCCTGCCAGTGCAGCTCTGAAATCTCTACCCCATTTAAAATAGACCACCACTTTTCTTAAATGTCCAAGAGCATCACAGAAACATATAAAAACGGACTCCCAGGTCACTTGCCAGGGTTTTATGAGAGAGGGTGTCCCGCTTAAAGATCCTCTCCTAGGCACACTCTCCCAACTCCTGACACATGCTAGGCAGGTCCCACAGATCCTGCAGATGAGTCTGCTCCTCCCTTTGCAGGTCCAGCACGTTCTTAGTCAGTTCATGATGAGATTTGACTTCAGCTGTTGGTCTGATGCCTGGAGGGGAAGTGTGAGCAGAATTTGAGGTGAGCAATTATGGCCTTATAAGATATCTGACACATTTGATTCCTGTGCATGGTCTTCAAGTAACGGGGGGCACTACCTTATAGCCCAGGGAAGTGGAGCAACTCTGCCGGCACTTTGGGTGTAGGGGAATCTGCGGTTAGGGTTCTGTAGTGCATCTCCTCAGACAGCCTCATGCGAGGCCCACAGGCACCACTCCTCCCACCAGGGTCCTGCTTTTGAGTAGAAGACTTCTTTTACTGAAGTGCTACTGTTTTTTTTCAAATATGTTTTTATTTATTTTTTTAGAAAGAGGAAGGGAGAAAGAGGCCGAAACATCTATATGAAAGAGATACATCCATCAGCTGCCTCTTGCACGCCCCCTGTTGGGGATCAAACCCACAAACCCAGGCATGTGTCTTGATTGGGAATCAAACCGGGACCTCTCTGTTCATGGGACATTGCTCAATCCACTGAGCCACACTGGCTGGTGTTCTTTTTTTTTTTTTATCCTCACCTGAGGACATTTTTCCATTTTTTGTTCAGATAGAGTAGGGGGGAGAGAGAGGAAGAGAGAGAGAGAAACATTGACGTGAAAGGGACACATCGAGTGGCTGCCACCCGCACAACCCAACCAGGGCTGGGGACAAAATGCAACCAAGGTACGCGCCCTTAGCGGGAACTGAACCCGGGTCTTTCTGGACTGCAGGTTGACATTCTAACTGCTGAGCCAAACTGGCCAGGGCAGTGCTATTATTCTTTTATGATTATAACGTAAGTCTGGCCTTTAGCATGATTAGCCTCCCAGCTACCTGAGACAAAACTTTTTTTAAATACTGACAAGGAGGTCTTCTGGCTTTCACACTGGATTTTGATTGTGATTGACTGTCTTGGTCTTTCATTTACAGCTAAGAGGCACAGAGCCTGTATTAATGAGACTCAGTCATTCAATTTCATAACCATTATTTCTGTTTCCACTTCCCCTCTCAAATGTCAGAGCTATTGCACAAGCCAGTGTGTCCCCTTCCATCTGTGTCCTGTGACAACTTACCAGGTGGAAATGTGCATGGTTGAAATGCTACAGCAAGCCAGGACTGCCAATACGTCACCCATTACCAATGATGGAGTCATGATGGCCAGTTGGCTGGTGGGTGATCCAATTCTATAATCCCATTCTTAGAGTCTGCTTTTGAGGTCCACCTGTGGCACAAACTGTCTTCAGTCAGTTTCTCCAGAACGGATGCAGATGTATATACAATTTTGATGTTTGTGCTTTTCAGGAAAAAACAAACACACACAAAACTAGAAGGGAATGAAGCAGCATGGTAGAAGAGCGAAGAGCTGAGCAGGGATGTGTCCCCAGCTAGTGTAGCCTTCACGTGCTGCACAGTGAGCTCTAGAGTATAAACTATACCACACAATTGTCCAGACTAGAGACAGGGCTTTTGTATCCCAATATTAGCTGGGCATTGGTTGCTCCTGTGGGGCAGGGAGGGTATGACTTCCTAGGTACATTAGGATGAGGAGACTCCTGTCATTTCAGCACATCCTCTGGAGAAGGTCACAAATCTATGCCATTAACTGTGGCAGCAGCAGCCTCTGGAGGTGGGCATACCATTGGGTTAAGCCCAATAGTGTTGATTTACTCCCAAATGGCTGGTTCATTATCCTAACAGGAAGCCAATATTGGCCAAAAAGTAAAAATTATTTTGGTATAAAGAAAAAGCTTGTATTTTAAAATTAGTCTTGGGCTCAGAATTTGACTTAGCCACTAGTAATCAGACACATTTGAGGGCTGAATCCATCTCAGCTGGTGTCCTCATTTGTGCAGTGAGGAAGGTAAGAGCTAGGCCACAGTGTTGTTTGAAGATTAATTCTGATAATTTATGTAAAGTTCTGATACATTACATGCTGAAAGATTGAAAGCAGGTTTCTGGCTAATCATTTAAATTACTTCTCTTTATTGTGGTTCCTCTTTCTAAAGGAAGTAACCATCTAGTAGATTTATTTTTCTTCCTTTCTCTCTAAGAAGTTGGAATGTAATTGTGCTTACCTCAATATTTCAAAGAATTTCACTCGATTATATTGGTAATTCATCTGATTTATTTTTGAGAGAGAAACATTTGGTTATAATTGGTATGTAGTAGTCATTCCAGTTCAGCTGAGTAATGAAGATCACTTTAGAACAATCTCCAGAGCCTACATTTTTGTTTTAGACAACTATCTAAACACAGATATCCCCAGTTGGTGGGCAAGATACAGAATCCAAGCTGGCAATTTCTGTCCCAGTTAAGGAGATAGTTTAGGAAGTAATCTGGATAAACACCCAGGCAGTCTGAGATGGTTAAGAGAAACTTAGTTTCAGGGTTACCAATTCATGAAACAAATGTGCCTTTAGACAAAGTGTTTAGAGCTTATAGACAGAGAGCTGGGCTTCCCCGGGATCCAGCATCATCAAGGTATTCGAAAAGTCATACTACATCTTCCTTTCTTTTTAATTCATCATTTACCTTTCAGTGCATGCTTTTTTTGATCAAACACAGACTAGAATAGTTTCCACACTAGAATAGTTACATGGAGTGAATCATTTGGTGTTTTATACACATCAGCAAACCCAAGAAGTAAAGGAGTTCCCGCTGAAGTGATACATGCATAATGATTGTTTGGACTGGATTCTTCAGTATTTTCACACTTATAGACTCATATTAGTCTGTTCTGGCTAGACCATAGACTAACTAGAAAGAAATTTAATTTTCTACATTAAAAAAGTTATTCTGTGAGCAATTCATACCCCTACTTGAAGAAACCACTTTCCTAGACAAGTACTGTTTCTCAGATATTTTCTTTTCTTTCGTACTACGCCTTGTAATTTCTGGACAGCCCACCACATACCCTGTGCATCAGAACCTGCAATCCTGGTACCTTTTATCTTTGTTTACCCAGAGAAGAATCATGTGTATATCCAGAAAGAAACTTGTTACCTGCACCATCTGAACAGCAATGAATTCTTGGGGTTACAATAATAAATACACACAGAACCCCAGAGGGCTCTTGCATCAAGCCCCAGACTCTTCTTCCCAAATTTTATCAGCTGGCCCTGACAGATCTGTGGGCAACACCTGGTCTTCTAGTCACTCCTACTGCCCCTCCCCTTTGGTGACGCAGTACTGGGACTTTGCCAAGGCCAACCGAGATCCTTGGCTTAGGCACCATTTCAACTGTTACTTAGAGAACTTTTCTTCGTCTTGATTCAAGGTGTCCAAGAATGCTGAGCACCAGTGTGGCACCTCTGAGACCTTGCACCATGCCTCCCAAGTTGCAGGGCATTCTCCCACCCTTACACCTCCTTGGGGTCGTGGCCCTACTGCTGTGCTCTTCTGGCCTGTGTGGTGAGTACAGTGGTTATTGAGGGAAGGGGGTATTTCTCTAAGATATAGAGAAAAATATCAAACAAGAATTCATGAAATATAGCGAAATGGTGGTAATTTATAACCTTTTCAAAAGAGTACAACGAACTATATTATTAATAAAAGTGAAGAATTTTAAAATATAAAATAAATTGTTCTAGATAGAGGCTGTTATTATGTCTAGAATAATTGTGTTGATATGTAAAAATTCTTGAGAGGCTGCTTTAGCAAGAAATAATCTAATTTTCAAATCAAGTTATTATATTTAAATGCTCCAAAATGCTTAAAACACATTTACTTTCCAAATTACTTCATCTACAGTCTTAGCGATTCATTGGGAAAAAATTTTCCATCAGTAAAGCAAAAATATTGTCTGTTATCACACTTATTAAATTTTCTAGGTTAAAATATAAGGTGCTTACAAACTATAAACCATTATATAATAATTGTAAGGCATTGCTATTGAAATGTAGAAAAATTTTTACAAAAGAAGGAGAAGTAAAAGGGTTTGAAATAACTTATCAGAATCTGTTATTAATAGAAATTAATTTGTTGTTATATTATTTAAATGGAAATGTCCTTTAAGCAATATATTCTTCTCTTGTGCCAGATAAGATTATTTTTTTAACCCGAGATAATTAATTTTCATAATAAAGATATTTATATGTATATTCCCTACAAATGGCTCTCATGGCATAAAAATGTAGGATTTGGGATAGCTTCGAGGGAAAATCCTGACTCTAAAATAACAGTTGAATGCTCTCAGTGAGCTGGCAGATTGATTTGAAAGTGTGGAAGCCATGCTTTCTCCAGCACTGAGGGTGGTAAGGGCGGAGCATGGGTTCATTAAGGCATGCTTTCCATTTGGAAGGTGATTTTTCACATCAAACCCATGAACATTGTTGAGGACAATTACTAATCAGGTTATAGAGTCAGTACAGCACAAAGAACTTTCTCCTCAGGGTATGTTCAGGCTTCCAACATTGTCTCTGAGTTCTCCTCAGTTGGAGTCTCAGGTAACAGGAGAAGACCTTATCACTATTTCCTCATGTGTCTGTTTCCCTGTCTCTTTCTTCTGTCACCTCAAATCTTCCATTATCTATGGCCTTTACCCTCTGGAATGGCATTTACTGTCTGTCAACTTTGACCTGAATCTCCTTTCTGTCTCTGCCCCACCCTTTTCTTTACTGTAACAATCTTCTGATGCCAGAGACGATGTTCATCGCCTCAATACTGATCTGCTTTTACTATCTTATCAGTTACTCACTTCTACTCGTCCTTCAAGATGTATCTCCAACGCATTCCTGGACGCCTTCCCCTGGTACTCCAGGCCTCGGTTCTGTCAACACCTTGTCCTGTAGCACTCATTTCCTGTCCTGCTCTTCCGGCACGTGTGTGACTGGTGTTGTGGTATAACTGTTTAAATGGCTGTATCTTCTCTTTCTCAGTACATTGCAAGTATAGCTCTTAATATAACCCAATATCCTGGTACAGAACTCCATATATATGTTCATTTGTAAAAATTAAGAGCTATTTTTTAATGATGTTTTTATTGATATTTTAGAGAAAGAGGAAGGGAAAGAAACATCAATGTGAGAGAGATACATCGATCAGCTGCCTCCTGCACGTCCCCTACTGGGGACTGAGCCTACAACCTAGGCATGTGCCCTGACTGGAATCAAACTGTGACCTCTTAGTCCATAGGATGATGCTCAATCCACTGAGCCACACTGGCTGGGCAAGAGCTTTTATTGATTTTAGAGAGAGAGGAAGGGAGAGGGAGAAAGTGTAAAACATCGATGTGAGAGAGAAACATCCATTAGTTGCCTCCCATATGCACCCCAACCAGAGATTGAACCAGCAACCTGGGTATGTGCTCTGACTGGAAATTAGAACCTGTGACCTTTTGGTGTATGGAATGACACTCCAACCAACTGAGCCACATCGGCCAGGGCAATAGCTATTTTTTATATTTCTATGAAGGTGCTTAATCTGAGGTTTAGGACAGGCTACATGGAAGTTGTTGACTCATACACAGGTGAATTAAACAGATGTTACCTTGGAATTGCTGTTACTGTGCTTTCTGAACCTCCCAGAGTAGAAGCCTTGGGAGAGGCAGAGGTAAGGGAAATAGTGCTTGACCTGAGCTGATTCTTGGCCTCACGGATGTTTAAAGCTTACTCTGTCTCATGTGAGTTTGTTTGTTTGTTTTTGTGGGTACTCCGTCATCACTGAGGACCTGCCAACTGCAATTCCTGGGGTGTGGTCAAACCCACCTCCCATTCTGGTCGATTGCTTACTGTTTCCTATCTCCTCAATATCTGGTGACTCCTAGAACCTTTAAAATATATATAATGACTTAGTTCTATCAAATGAGAGGAGTCCCTCAATCTGAATTATTAAATAGATTAAACTCTAGCTCATTCTCTTCCAGACTCCTCTCTCACCATTGAAGACTGCAGTGTGTCTCCTAGCATTGTCCATGGATCCTATCATGACATGAGTTCATTTTTTTCCTTTACGACTGTGTTGTACTATACATGTGATGAAGGATATATTCTGGTTGGAGAGGCCAAAATCACCTGCAGAAATTCACAATGGTCATCTCCAGCTCCACAGTGTAAAGGTAACTTCAACTTTACTGATGGCTCCTGCTAAGGTACAACCACCATGAAAATGAGTCTTCTCCCAGCCAGAAGCAGCACTTAGAAAATTGTATTCTGTTTATTCATTTCATGTAGTTAATATTAATGCATGCATATAGTACACTATTTTTAAAGTGTGAACTTATCATCCAGTTAACCCTGCTATTACCAACATGTATGTTTTCAGAGGTAGTCTAGGCAACCAGTTTTTGATTTGTTTTAATACAAGTTTTAATTTAAATATGACATACTATAGAACTGTGCATAAATCTTAAGTGTATAGGTCAACAATTATCAGAAAGTGAGCTGACCCATGAAACTATCACTCAGGTCAGGAAGCACTACCATTGTCAACACACCAGAAGTTTTCTACTTGTCCTCTCTCATTTACTCACCAAAGGTGGTCACTATTCTAATACCATGGATTAATTTTGTCAACTTTTTAACTTTATATAAAATAATCAAGCATGTACTCTATTGTGCCTGGCTTGTTACCTCAACATTATGTTTTGGAAAATCACCTATGTTCTTACACGTAATGATAGTTTATTAATTTTCCTTGCTGCATAATATTCCTTTGAATAATATACCACATTTTACGTATCTTATAAAAGTTTGAATTTTTTATGTTTTAGGCTATCATGGATAACGAATGCTCTTATAAACATTCTTGTACATGTCTCTTGGTACAAATGTGCCATCACTTCTGTTGGGAGTAAACTTAGGAGTAGAATTACTGTTTCATAAAGGAAACACATATTCATTTTTAGTAGATGATACTAAATTTTGTTCAAAAGTGGTTGCAACAATTTACGTTTCCACCAGTAGTGTATGAGTGTCCTAGTTTTTGTTTTTTTTTATCCTCACCCGAGGACATTTTTCCTTTTTTTTTTTTTTTTGTTCAGGTAGAGTGGGAGGGAGAGAGAGGAACAGAGAGAGAGAGAGAAACATCGATGTGAAAGGAACACATCAAGTGGCTGCCACCCGCACAACCGACCAGGGCCGGGGACAAACTGCAACCGAGGTACGCGCCCTTAGCGGGAACCGAACCCGGGTCTCTCAGGACCGCGGGCCGACGCTCTAACTGCTGAACCAAACCGGCCAGGGCGAGTGTCCTAGTTTTGATAAACAGAAGTTCTACATTACATTTTGCTCAATGTATCAATCTTTTTTTTTTTGATGGTGGAGCTTTTTGTGTCTTTTAAAAGAAATATTTACCTACAACAAGGTCACAGAAATATATCCTTTTATGTTATATTCCAGACCTTCATTGTTTTATTTTTCACATTGACCACAAAGAATATTAGGTGGGCCTTTTAAAAAAATCACACTGTAAATACCAACTCAAGGGGCTAATTTCTCTCCTTTGCCTCCATTTAATACAGGGAGATATTAAGGCTATGCAATTTAACACTACATACTTGGTCTGGCTGGTGTGGCTCAGTGGTTGAGCATCGACCCATGCACTAAGAGGCTGCTGGTTCAATTCCCAGCCAGGACACATGCCCAGGTTGTGGGCCCAATCCCCAGTGGAGGACATGCAGGAGGCAGCCAGTTGATGTTCTCTCTCATTGATGCTTCTCTCTCTCTCTCCCTTTTACTTCCTCTCTAAAATCAGTAAAGGAAAAAATATATTAAAAAACTTAATAAAAAATATAAAACTACATACTTAGGATCATGCAAAGAGTAATGTTTTGAGATATAGTAGCTTTGAAAACTCAAATTCTAGAACCACAATCCCTAGTTTTGTGTCATAATTATGTCACCTCAAAGCTAAGCAACCTTAAACAAGTCACATAACTTATCTGCACCTAATTTTTCTCTCTAGCAAAATGGAGATAAGAATAATGTTTTATGTTGATAGTATAATGTAAATTATTATTATTATTGTTATAATAGTATAATAAATAGAGGTAAACACAACTCTCATCATGCAGGTATAATTTTTAATCAGTTATTCACCCCTCAGTATACTCTACTATTGTAAGATCTTATTCTGAGAATCACAAGATGATCAAAATTGTGTTTCCATAACAACAGCTCTGTGTCTGAGACCAGAGGTAGAACATGGAAAGCTGTCTGAGGATAAATATCAGTATGTTGAGCCTGAAAATGTCACCATCCAATGTGACTCTGGCTATGGTATGGTCGGCTCTGAAAGTATCACCTGCTCAGAAAACAGAACCTGGTATCCAGAGGCGCCCAAGTGTGTGTGGGTAAGTGGTACACCTTTCAGGGTGTTATATCACATTCTGAACATGGTAGTCTGCTTCAGAAAACTGTCCCAGTCAACACTAATGACATCTGACTTTTGTCAGGACCCATTTCTGAGTTGTTTAAATCACTTTTGGAATCAGCAATTTCACCCTCAAATCACTTGGTGAGCTCATTAAAGCAAGTTCTAATTCTCTCCTTGAATAGCAAAAAGAGCCGGGCCTCTAGATACAAGGGAGGTTTCCAAGGATCCAGGTAACCTGGCCCCAGCCTTGTATTTTCTACCATAAGTATTATATAAGTGTTATGCTTTTGCATAGCCACCAAAATCATCCCCGCAGCTGTCCCTCGAGAGGTCCCCTGGGTGTCTTAGGCAGCATTGTTCTCTCCCTGCTTCATCGGTCTGGACCCTAGTATCTTGCATTTCTTCCATCAGTCCTGAGGAGGGTCTTGATACTCCGATTTTGTTGTCACAAGTGAGGCATCCTGAAGGAATCTTCTACTTTTACAGTTTGGAGAGAAAGTTTCTCAAAATCCATCCTTTTGTCTCTTCCAGGAAATCCATAATGGCTGTGAGCAAGTACTAGAAGGCAGTAAACTCATTCAGTGTCTCCCAGAGCCGGAGGACGTGAAAATGGCCCTGGAGGTGTATAAACTGTCTCTGGAGATTAAACGACTCAAGGAAGAGTAAGACTCAAAGAGAAACACCAGTTAGAAACCAGTACATCCATTAACCCTCACTCATTCTCCCCACCGAATAAAGTATTAGGTACATTTTTTTTATTATTATTAATTGCTACTGAAGTACTATTATTTACTGAAAAAACTAAACAAACAAACAAAAAAGCCCGCAGACCTTTTAGGAGAATCTTAATGACACTGATAATGTAGAACTATTGATAATTTATATCTTAGCTCAGATTAAGCCTCTGTTTTCCTGGATTTGGTGAAATGGCAGAAATATATAATCACCTGTCAAAACTCCAGGTGTTTTTTTTTTTTTTCTTTAATTCCTGTGTAATGAAAAATTAGGGTCCTATATGAATCATTTCCTAATGTTTTTCTGATTCATGTTCTTTTCCTTTTTACCATGTTTCAGGGTATATATGGTCCTCAAAATACTTACTTGTACTTTGTCTGAGGTGTGTTCACCCTCCATCCCCACTTCCTTCCCATCCTTCGATGCCCAGGTCGAATATCACATCTTCCTGCAAGTATTCTCCTTTCTCTCCCTATTTGATCCCCAGGATTTTTCTAGAACTTCTCACTTCCTCTTTCTATTTAAGACATACCTAGTTTTGCTCAACTTTCCTTCCATTCAACAATTACCAGCTTGGAAGTCTTTGAAAGCCTGAGCTTATGGAACCCAAACATTCCTCTTGGGCACACCCGAGTCTTCCAGTTCACTTTAATCACTTTTTAAATATTTCAATTAAAATGGCTTTAGGGTCTCTTTTAAGTCAGATTCCCCAGAAGCAGACATTGAGAAGAGGATTCATATACAAGTGAGTTATTAAGAAAGGAGAAGGGGGTAGGATGAGCAGGACAGGGCAGGAAAGGAGCCCAGCAGGGCAATCAGGCAAAGTCCTACAGAGAGGGGCTTAACCTTGTCTCAAAGGGAACTCTGGACTATGAATTTGCTTAAATTTTGTCCAATGTCAGGCAGAGGAACTGGTCTTTCATTCTGCTGTACCAGTCAATTATTGATCAATGGCCACTTTGGAGGCACAGAAGCCCCCAGGAAGTCTAGCTCTATGTGGGGACAAAGCTGTCCAGCAGCTAAGAGAGTGGAAGGTATGACCTTTAGAAACCAAAACACAGAGAAGCCTGCAGAGGGGTGCACAGAAATGATAAAAGAGATGAGAGGGGCTGGGCAGAGCTTATGCCATGAGTCCCTCTTATCACCCTGGATATTCTCAGAAGCCTTATATTCCCAACAGTCAACAATTCTTTCCATTTTTGGCCTCCTTTGAAATTTCATCCTCACTCATGCTTACCTACTGTGGCTGGACTCTGGTTCCCCATTGCACCTTGATCAATAATAGAAACCATTTCCTTGATGTCTGCAAAACAAGTCACACAAGAAAGCTGCGTAGCTGATTTTTACTACAGATTTAGAGTTAACAGATGAGGAGGTGGCTGGCTCCCAGACAGGACTTCCACATTGGATGTGACGTAACTGTGATCTTCAAAGACCATTGCCTTCCACTGTCACCAGGAATCTTATCTGGCTGAGTTTCTCTGCGTGACCCTGCCAGCCTCCGGACTTGTCTGATCTGCCACTTTCTGGTCAGATCTTCTTGACACACATCCTCCATTCTTGTTCTCACTACCCCGGAAACCCATTTCTCTTTATTAGAGAAAGCATTTTAGCTCTCTGTCTTTCCCTAGTCTCAGGGATTTTTGTGCAAAAATTCATGAAGGTAATCACATAAACAAAGGGCCATCCATTAGGTTTGGGCACCATGCTGTAGAGAACATTTAGGGGAATCTCTGAATTATGAGTCTTTCTACATTTCTTCCCCCTCAGTCTCTGTATGTGGAGGGTGGGCAACGTGGAAACATTTTCACACTGATGTACGTTATGTCACAATTTTTTGTTAATTCTAAATTAATGACACATAGTTATAATTATCAAAGTAATACATGGGTGTGCAAACAAAAATTCAAACCTTCAAAGGGGTTGAAAAAACGTATAAATAAAATGCTTTGCCCTGGCCAGTGTGGCTCAGTTGGTTGGGTATCAGTGTGCATCAAAGGGTTGCTGGTTTGATTCCTGGTCAGGGAACATGCCTGGATTTCTGCTGGATCCCCAGTGGGGAATGTAAGGGAGGCAACCAATCAATATTTCTCTCTTTCCTGCTCCCTTTCTTTCTCACTAAAAACCAATAAAATTCTTTTTAAAAAATAAAGAAAAGTTATTCTCTTTTTGTGCCTCAGTCCTACTGTTTTGAATTTTTCTGCTGTTTAGCTTAATCCCTCTGAAGAGGATACACACATGATATCATTTTGACTTTTTATCTTTAAGATATAGATATTGAAAATTATGTGAGTGAATAAGCTCATCCAAGAAGAGCATATAGAATAAAAAGAGGAGGAGTCTGAGGACAAAACTGGGGAAACACCACTTTGGGGCTTTGGGCAGAAGGACAAGTTCAAAGAAACTGAGAAAGATAAGGCATAGGGATAGGAGGAACATCAGTAGAATGAGATGTCACAGAAACCAAGGCAGGATGAAATGTTAAGGAGGGAATGGTTAGCAGAATCAAATCCTATTGAAAATTCACTTTCAAAGTGTCCACTAGCTTTGTTCCTGGAGTAGGGACTGCTAGTGACTTTATCAGATAATCTTCACTAAATCTGGGCAGTGGGGCACAAAAAAAAGTAGGTTGAATGACGAAGAAAACACAATGGAGTGGCCATAGTGCAGACTACTTTCTAACAAGAAGAGAGAAAAGCCAGGGCATGGGGTAGAGGGAGGAAATGTTTCTAAGATCAGAGGAAATTTGAACCGTTTTACTGTATGGGGAATAAAATATCCAGTAGCACAGGAAAGAGGTGGCGGTACTGGAAATACAGGGGGAATAAGATGTACTGAAGTCTGAGGCAAAGGAACAGGAGGCACTGGATCTAGAGCATGAAGATAGGGTTTAGCAAGGAAAGCTAAGTGACTTTGTGGCTCAATCGCTGGATCTCCTCCTCTTCCTCCTTCTTCTTCTTGTTAATCCTCACCCAAGGATATATATATATATATTTTTTCCATTGATTTTTAGAGAGAGTGAAAGGGAGGGAGGGAAGGAGAGTGAGAAACATCGATGTGTCTTGGTTGCTTCCACTATGCACCTGCTGGGGACATGATTGAACCTGCAACCCAGGTACATGCCTTTTACCGGGAATCGAACCTGCAACCCTTTGCTGTGTGATCTGACGCTCTACCAGCCAGGGCAATCGCGGGATTTTCTTAACGAGAGAAACTCCAGGGTTATCTGCTTAGGATGCGGAAGGAAGAGTGCAGACAGCTTGCGCCTGTATAGAAAGTTTGCTATAGCAACTGAGTTATGGGAGAGGGAGCTGAACCACAAAGAATACCCCTTGCACCTACTTATCCTCCCAGGTTAGAAATTCATTCCGCGTGTCTGGGTGTTGTGCTTCAGAAACTCATCTCTGGGCTCACTGAAGTCCCGGGCAGTCTCCCAGCCGGCTTGCCCCGTAGGAGGCCTTGTGCCAAGAAAAGTAGCTCCAGAGCAGAGCTCAGTGCAGCTCCCGACTTGCCTGCCAAGCAGGGAATGCACTGCCAAGGCCGGTGTGTTGCCACACACCTTGTGGTGTAATTTGGAGCTCTGTATCATGCTACCCTGTTGATCTCAGTAGATATTCGTGTGGTAAGCGAATTGGCTTCACTCAGAACGAGTGGGTGAAAAAAAGGAGGCCAAGGAGGACAGGACTGGGCAAGGACTGAAGTGGGACTGAGCAAGGAGGTGAGGAGCCAATCGGTAGGTGGCCACAGCTTACAACGGCAGTGGCAGGGATCTGCTGACTAGGCCACCATGACAGTAGCCTTAGGGGACGCCAGGAGCGGTTTCCGCAACAGGGAGCTAGTCCTGTTCATCAACGAATTGGTGCTCAAAAACGGCAATGGCTAGGACTTCAGCGAGCGACCCTGGAACGAGATAGAGGATGAGCTGCGAAGCATTGTGGCCAACCCTCAGGTGCCGCACACCAGCAAGAGGGCCTGGGCCTGGAGCGCGCTGGCCTTAGGCGTGCGTGTGGCCTCGAGGTAGCAAGAGGAGCACTTGCGCAGGCTCCTGCAGCTGAAGGAGCAACTGGACGAGCACGAGACCGCCGCCTGGGCTCCGGCTTCCCAGCTGCCTGGGCTGCGCTAGGACTGGGATGGGCTGGTCTGGCAGTTTGGTCGGGCGTGGGAAGACCTGCAACAGGTACTAGACCAGGGTGAAGCTGTGCACGTCCGCAGCTGCTCCTGGCGGAGAAGCGGTGCCAGCTGGTCGTACCCAAGTCTCCACTCCAGCGGCTCGGGTATGCTGTGTGGCCTCTTAATGTAGAGGAGCGGAACCAGGTGCTGGCCAAAATGTGGCAGCGTAGGTTGGATGCAGATTCCCAGAGGGAGGAGGCCCAGATGGCCTCAACAACTGGTGTGCTTTACGTGCCAGGACCTCCAGATCTCCAGATGCCTATTGTGGGTCTACCCACCTGCCAGGTGTCCTGCGGTTGGGTCCCAGGGGGGAGATAGCCCTGCAGTGTGACGAAGAGAGCAAAGGCCAAGAGGAAGGTCCTGTGAAGCCCCACTTCATAAACCCCTCAGGGCACAGTTGGAGCCAAGAAAACCCAACCTCAGAGAAGCAGCAACCCCAGGGACCCGTGTGCAGTCTACCAAAAGCTCCAGGAACTTTGTGTGAAGCTGAAGAAGCTCTGGCTCCCAGTGTATTAATCCTCATGAAATACCCTTTTGCCTCTCAGCAAGCAGCCTTCAACTCAGTGATACCTCAACCAGCTGGAGCTAAAAAGAATGTGAAGGAATCAAGGAAAAGAACCATTGTGGCACACATCTTAGAAAAATGGAGAGCAGATAGATTTTATTAGGACTTAATACTTCTATTGGGGAAAAGAGATTAATATAGCACAGTTCAAGGGGGTTGGGATTGTAGTGTTAAATTTGAGAGATTTTGCAACTTTATTGAGTTTTATTCATTAATTAATTGAACAAATAGTTATCTAATATTTTTTAGGAACTACAATTATATGTTATTATCTGATACACACATTATTTACCCAGTTGGATGAGTTTGATTAGATAGGAGAGAGCCTAATTTGAGATACATTG